ACAAAGCAGGCAGGAGTAAACAATCTCCTCCACCCTCAATGAATGTCTGGGCCACATCCAGCAGGGCATATGCTATCTCAGAGAGTTCTCCACCTAAAACCATCTCCTGGTGGAAATAGGATAGGCAAAAGTCTTGTGATGGCAGAAAAGAGCTTCTCTGGGTTGAGTCCACAGTCTGGAATAAACAAAACCAAACCTGAGCACCAGACCGATACCATGAATTTCAACTTCTTCTTCCATTTGTCCCTTCAGCACCTAGAAATGCCCTGGATGGCACATACATATGGATAAGACTAAAGTGGATAACTGGAGTTTGTTTTCTTTAAAACAGCCTGTAAAGTGTATGTTTTAGATTCATGGCTAACATGTCATCGATAACACACCACTGTTTTGGCTGTTTGCTGAGTGGTGTTCGCACAGCAACAAGGTTGTCCAGACACACACACATTAGCCCCTTGCTTCACTTATTTTTTGCTAATATCAATTCCAAAATTCTGCTCACTTGAGACTGGTCGTCAGATTTCCCTGGGTCAAAGGACAAGTTCCTCTATTAGTTTCCCAATAGTTGGACTAGAGAACCAGAAGAGGGATTTTCAAGCATTTTCTTCTTATTATTATTCTGACCTCCCTGTGTCATTTGATACAGCCTGACTCACCCTTCCTTTTAACAGACTGGCATTTCAGGGGTGATTCCCATTAAGGCTGCCCAATTCGGCAGCCCTTGAGCCCTTATTGTGCTCCATGGGCTCCACCACATAACATTGAGGCTCGGCTCTTTGGTCCCCCAGGCGCTGATTTGGCAAGAGTTTTGTTTTCCCTCCTGCTGTTGCTAAACACAGACACCATGCCCTGGGGTACGTCATTTTGTCCATAAAGGACATCTTGGACAGCCAGTGTCAGTGTCCACGTGGAAAACCCAACAGGAGCAGTCCAGGGAGGGGAAGGACATCTCCCATAGCTGTTCTGCATCAAATGCCACTGTGGTCATCCAGACCTGGGGTGGTGGGGGAGCACCTCTGTCTCCAGCAGTGCCCTTTCATAGCAGGGTAGAAGGAGGCTGTTAAATCAGGCTTAGGTTCAGGTGATGAGATGGGGACAGACGGTCTGTTGCCAAAATCAGAATCATCATCCTCATTATCAGTTCTTGGTGCCTGTAGCTTTTCAATGGTCTCACTCTTGGAGACTGGCCATGTACACTTTGTCTAGCTGTCATAAAGCCAGAGATCTGTGGTTAGTTTCTACTTCTCAAAGTATTTACTCTTAACATGACTACAAGATTCAAAGGCAGCCACTAGAGCTTGTTGTAAAGCGCCTTGACCTTTCTTGCCTTTAGGAAAAACAGGCGGAGCTTTCCTCCTGCTTTTAGCAACGTGTCTGTGAACACCAATGTCTCCTCTCTGTTTTTTTTTGTTATTCCAGCTGGAACAGCCAATAGCAGTTGCCAATTTCTACTTTCTCAGGATGGTTTTCCCTTTCCCAGACCATTTTCTTGCCTCTCCAGTTGATCAGTAGTGTTTTGTTCTTGCACCTGACAAGGCTATCCCAGGAAGGACTCTGCTGCTTCAGGGAGCACAGAAGAGCTGGGGGGAGAGGAAGGTCTGGCAGCCGTTTCTGAATGAGAGGCTACCAGAGGGGTTTTTGGCAGCACATGTGCACAGCAAATTCTGCTTCAGAGACCCCTGGATCCCGTGTTTGCCCCTGCCGCAGAGCCCTTAGCCCACCCCGGTGTTGTCTGGGTTTAGCAGTGAATTTTGCAGCCTCATTGCCATGCTGAGGAGGAGGGGGGACGGCGGCACCCCATCCCACAGACAGCCTGGAGAAGGAAGATCAAGGTGAGGAGAGCCTCACCACCAGCACTCCCTGGGGAACGGGGTTTTGGCTGCAGCACCTCCGGTGATGCAGAACTTCATGGCAGAGGTGAAACCCACTCCGTGCTGAGGAATGATCCTGACACGCTGCAGCTCTGGCAAGCGGAGGGGTCAGGGGCACCGAAAGGCACATGGAGATCCCTGTGGTGCGCCAGGAGGTCTTCAGGATGGAGAAAGTGTTTTAAACCACTGCCTCGAGCCTTTAGCAGCCTTCAGGCCATCGAAACGTGGAGTTCCCTTTGTCTTAGTGCCCCCTCCTGTCAGCTGTGCAGAACTCACTTCGGACAGCAGCTTTCGGAAAAGAAATTAGAAGTAGCTGAGCAAGGATAGGTCCCCCTGGGAAAGGCACTCGGGGCTCAGCTGGCTGAAGGAGCCACTTGTGCATGGGAAGGGGAGGGGAGGCTTTTTATTTGCAGACTGATTTTTGTTTTTTGTTGTTTAATTCATACCTTATTCAATTTAGAAAGCAAACAGAGCTAGGAGTAACAAATGAGGAAATGGTTCCACCAGGGAGCTGTGCTGCAGCTGTGGGAGGGGATGGGTGGCCACGGTGGGCTCAGGGCAGCAGCTGGGTCCTCATTTTGGGCAGGGGAGGTGCCACCAAGGAGCCCTGGGCACTGGGGATGCTCCTGGGCAGGTGCCCATTTCTTTCTCCTTTTTTGAGAGCAAACTGTGGAAGTGAAGGAGCTAGAAATAGAAACAAAGGGCAAAATTCATTGCTCATTTACCTTTAGGATTTGCAGTTTGTAGGGAACTACTTGCATACTCCTCCAATCTTCATATACTATTTTATTGCATATACATATTTCCTTACTCATACAAAGTTCCTAAAGCATTTTCCTTTCTAAATATAATGCAGAAGGAAGAGAATAAAAATAATCTACAGAAGTTGTCTTTTAGCACCAGAAGCACCTGTTCTACTTTTACACAGCTGAGACACAGAATGGAAATACAAGATGTCTTCATCCTTTAATTTATTTTTTTTTTCCCAGAAAGCCGGGTTTGGAGATAAGGCCATTAAGCTTATCTGAAGAATAACACACTGAACTTGGATAATTGATGTATGTTCACGTTGAAAAAAATCCTTGTGCAAAAACGTCAAAATCCCCAAAGGGATATTTTTCATCCAGAATTACTCAGCTTTCTCTTAAAGAGTTTATATCTTGCCAAAATAATCTGAGATTGATACACACGTGTGCAGCGCAGTTCAGGTGGCCCCGTGTGTCACTGCAGCCTCTGCTCTCACACAAAGACTTTTTGCCTTGATGTGGAGGAGGGCTCTGTTTTGCCTAAATGGGTTTGGGGTGCTGGGCAACCCCACGGCAAACTGCTCCAGCACCAAACCTTCCTGAGAGGTGAGGGAGCAGGAGAAGGTGAGCAGGAAGGACTGAGAAAAGTAGAGAAAGGAGAAGAAGGAGGTGAAGACGATGTCCAGTCTCAAATCAATGGATTGTGCCAATGCATGGGATAATTTAATGGACAAGGCCACTGTAGGATGACAGCTCCAATGCAGAAGGTGGTACCCAGGGATGAGGCCACCTCAGGAGGGGACAGACTGAGGAATGAGGACATCCCAGAAGGAAAGTCCAATAACATACAATAATTAGGGAAAATCCCAGTGGCTGAGGACAGTGCAGACAGATGAGATGGTCCCAGGGGAAACGGCTCCAGGGTCTGAGAGCTCCGTGGGTAGGGACAGCCCGAGCAGATATCCAGACACCAGCCCCAAAGCCACACAGCTTGACCTCCCTGGTCGACCTCCAGGGTCATCCCTGAGCCCCCCAACTCCAACCTGACCTCCGTGGGGTTCTTCAAGGGGCCAAACCCTTTGTAGACCCTTCAGATCTTTACACACTCCGCTCAGCCTGGTCCTGGACAGGGTTGGGATGAGAACAGGTTCTGTGGAGAGCATCTACAGGCAGCTGGAGGAACTGTTCTGGTGTCCTGCGGGCATCCCAGCCCTCCACACATCCACCAAGATCCCTGTCCATCCTACAGAACCTTCTCCACAGCCAGAGCCCCAGTGTCAAAGTAGACTTTGGGAGATCTCAGGAGCTGGTTTCTCTTCTGCTGTCCTAAATCCTGTTTCTCATGAGCACTTACTGCCCACCCACCCCTCACCCAAAAAGCAGGGGCTCCATCGAAAACAGCACTCTCAGAGAGATGAGGGGGGGAAAGTGCTTCTTTGTTTTGGCCCTGCTTTTCAACCAGCCTCAGGCACAGGGTGCTAGAGCTGAGTTTTTGGGTGAGGGTGGTCTCGTATGGCTGCAAAGGTGGAGCCAGGGGGCAGCAGGAACCTCCTCAACCCAACCTCCAGCTCCAAGTGGAAGGTGTCTGTTCCCCTTCTCTGGCAGCCTCACCACAGAGACCTGAGCAGAGTCCTTGAAGCCCTCCCAGTGCTTGGTGGGCTCTTCCTCTGAGGGTGTGCATGAGGGAAAAGAGGCAGGAGAGGGTGCCTGGGGCAGGCTGCAGCCCCCCCAGCCCTCGGGCTCCCCTTGCTCACGCCTAAAGGATAAAGCTTTCGCCTGAACAGGGGCTTGAACCCTGGACCCTCAGATTAAAAGTCTGATGCTCTCCCAACTGAGCTATCCAGGCTCACGTTTGGGATTTTGGGTGATGCTTAGAACAGCCCCGTGAGCCCCCCGTGTCCCTGTGCCAGCAGGGGGATGAGGTGGGAACTCGCTGCTCCCACCAGGCTGCCCCCAGAGCCCCTCTCCATGTCCCGGGACACGCCGTGAAGGCCCAGTGTGGCCTCCCCCAGCTCTGCCCCTTGTCCCAGCACCGCGGGATGCCCGAGGGCAGCCGTGGGGCCTCTGAGGGAGCCAGGGGGGAACACGGCCCAAGGCACGTGGCGGTCACCGTCCCCGCACACAGCTCGGGCACCATGAGGCCATGGGTTGAGCCACCAGGTCTGCTCACACCCACGGGCAGGGCTCCGGGCATGCAGAGAGTCCATGGCACGTCTGCAAGGCTGGGCCTTCGTCCCTCCCCGTCCCTCCTCCCCATCACGGCCAGCCCCTTGCTGCTCTCCCCTCCCCTGCGGCCCCAGCGCCTCTGCCTGGACCTGCGTAAAAATATAAAAGGCTGTTTGCTTGGCGACGTCCTCCGGAGGGAAGCCCAGCCAAGCTGGCCATGGGGAGGACGGGCGCTGGGTTTGCGCTGCTGACGCTGCTGCTGCTGCTCCCGCAGCCCGCGTCCCAGTTCTGGCTCTTCAATGTCCTCTTCCCACCCACCTCCACCCCAGAGGCACCCCCGACCAACAGCACGCCGCCCGTGGTGCTCGGTAAGGTCACATCAGCCCGCCTGCCAGGGTGCTGGCGGTGAGGCCGGGGCACTTTGCAGTCTCTGCCCATCTTATCAGAGACCCCAGCATGGTTGAGGGGGGGGTCAGGGCTTGCTCTGCTCGGGGAGGGGTCAGGGACAGAGGTTCAGGGGGCTGTGGATCCCCAGTGCTGTTCCAGCAGGATGGGATCTACCACCCCTGGCTCCCCTGATGTCTGCCCCATGCTTTTCGCTTCTCCCCAGTGATGGTTGCTCCATCCCCTAATGCTGCAGGGGGGTGTCCGCCCCACATCAGACCACCCTGCTGGGGCCATGGCAATACCAGAGGTGCACGGAGAGGCAAAAGGAGAGGTTGGGGCATCACCTAGGGACGTGGGGATGGAGCACCAGTCCTGCTGCCTGGCCAGGGCTGTTTGCAAACAGCTCCTGGTGGTGCACGGCTGTGGCCAGCCTTCCTGTGCCCCCTGCGCCGTCTCCGGGGACTTGGCATGGGATTTTGGCACTGTTCTGAGCAGAAGGGTTATTTTTCTCTCTCTCTCTTTTTCTTTTTTAATCAAACGGAGTTTCCCTTTTAAAAAGAGAAGAGAAAAAGCAGAACATCTGGTGGATGACCCTTTGAGCACCCATGCCCATGGAGTTCTGCTTGCGCCAGGGCAGCCCGCACCGAGCACCGCAGCCTGGCAGGGGTGGCTGTGCCCCCAGCCCCTGGCACGGCATGGTTGGAGGGACAGTGCCTGCAGCCAGGTGGCCCCAGTGGCTGTCACCACGTAGGGCAGGGGGTGGCGTGGCACCGTCCCCTCTTCTCAGGATGGCCTGCAGCAAGAAGAACATCTCCAACACCCTTTCACCTGGCTGCAGCTTGCTCAGACCCCCATGCAGCCCCGGTCCATGCCCCCCCAGGACCTCCCTTTCTTCCCATCCCAGCAGGGGTTCCTGGCTCTGCCCTGCACCCCAGCACCGAGGTCACCCCTGTGCTGTGCCCAGGCCACGGTGCCAGGGTGGTCGGGACACCATGGGCATGCAGCCCATCCCCCTGGGCTGAAACCCAAGGGCCAGAAACCCCCAGTGCCCTTGGGACCCACGATAACCCCTCCGCCCCCACAGGAGCTCCCTTAATAATTACCTAATGTCCTCTCCGAGGCGAGGCAGAGCTCAGGAATACGCACACCGGGGCTGCTGGCTGCCCTGGGGGAAGGGGGTTGGGGTGCCCCCAGCATCCTGGAGGGGGCAGACCCCCATGGGGCTGCCCCATGGGACTGGGGGTGACCTCTTGCCCCAGAAGCTGTCACCCGCTCTGCTCGCCCCCTGGGCAGGTCCAGCAGCCCTCTGCCCTCTCCCCATCCCATGCCTGGGCTCTCCACCAGCATCCACTTGTTTACAGGGAAGGATGTGCTGATCCTCACCGTCTAAAGGCAGGATTAGACCTTCCCCGTATCCACAGGGAGCCTCCACCAGGGTGAAGGAGCCGTGAAGCAGGTTGAGCAAGGCAACCAGCAGATCCCATTCCCCCCTTGCGTGGGACGAGGCTTTTGGATGTCCCCGCATCCCAGGGAATGCTCTGCCATGCCGTGGAGCTGTGGCTGTGGTGGGTGGGATGAGGCTGGAGCATCTCTGGGCCAAGCTGGCCTTGCACCCCGCTGCAGGGACACTGCTGTGGCTGTCCCAAACCCGTGTCCTTGACACAGTTGGGGTCCTGCAAGGGCTGTCGGGTTCACTCAGCACCCAGTGCTCCCATCCCACCAGCCTGGCAGCCACTGTCCCCTGTGGTCCCTTCACTTCTCATCCTTGTCCAGTGCTTTGGGGCAGGTCTCAGATCCTGAATGGTGGCCGGGAGCAGTCTCCGTAGCGAGTGTCCCCTGTCCCTGCCAGAGAACCACAGCGCAGGTCCCAGAGGCAGAGCCCAGCTCACATGTGGCAGGCAGTGAACTTGGTTAAAACGGGGTTGTGTTTACCCTGTGTGATATTTGCACTGAATTCCCACAGGGAACGGTTCCGAATCATTTCAGGGACCTTGCTCAGCCTACATGGAGGGTTTAAAGTTCAGGAAAACAGTGCGTGGGCCTTGGGCATCAGCACTGGGACAACTTTCACCCTGGACACCTCCCCAGGGCCTATGCTGCCCTGGGCAAACCGATGGGTGTGATTTGTAGGGCAGGGGACACGGTGGGGCTGGGCAGCCCCAAGGAGCTCCAGCTCTGTCCCTCTGGAGGATAGGAGCAGAGGAGCTTCTCTGGAGGAGAGGAGCATGGAAAGGCAGCCACGCAGGGGGAGATGCACCAGGCTGCTTCGTGCTGGTGTATCTCCACGTGCTTGGGTGGGTGCTGGTGGCAGCTCTCAGCTGGGTGTCGCAGGGCAGAGCACACATGGTGGGGAGAGGTGGCTCAGTGGTCCCCAGGGATGTGCTTTTAGCACGCTGCCACCACGTTTGTGCGCACCCCGTATCTCCAAGTGCCCTCAGATGTGTTGTGTTTGGCAGGGACCAGGGCCTGGGCAGGTTGTTTTCCGTGGGTGCTGCCTCCAACAGCATCCAACAGCAGGTCCCTGGGTGTCCCCAGCCAGGCAGCCCCAGGGGAGGATGGAGGCTAGGGAAGCACGGGGCCAGGCAGCCCCTACAGAGATGGGGTCTAGCTGACCCTGGCCTCTTTCTGTGGTGCCTCCAGTGCCCGGGTGTCTTGGGAACCAGCTGGAAGCCAAGCTGGACAAGCCAGATGTGGTGAACTGGATGTGCTACCGTAAAACTGAGGACTATTTCACCATCTGGCTCAACCTCAACACATTCCTGCCAGTGGGAGTTGACTGCTGGATCGATAACACCAGGTACCGCTCACCCCCACCCCGGGAGGTCCCCAGGGAAATGACCTACCAGGGATCTCCCTCCCCTCTCCTCCCTCTCTGGCCTTGACCCAGCAGACACATGGGAACACGGGAGCACAGTCCTGCCTGGACTGTGCATTCTGAACGCAGCTCTCACCGGTGCTTTCCAAACGCCTTCCCCTTTTCCACATCCCCACCATGTGCTCGTGCCAGCCAGACTGTCCTCAGCACCTCCTAGAGACTTGGGAGCAGCCCCCTGGGGCCAAGCTGCCACCTGGTGATCTCTACCCTGTCCCCCATGGACGTGGCCCTGCTCCTACCTTCTCTCCTGTCCCTGCAGGGTGGTGTACAACCGAACCTCCCGGAAAATGTCCAACGCCCCTGGGGTGCACATCCGTGTACCTGGCTTCGGCAAGACCTATTCTGTGGAATACCTGGACCAGAGCAAACTGGCAGGTGAGAGGAGCCAGCTTCGTGGAGAGGCACGGGATGTCCAGGGCTCCCAAACACCCTTCAGCAGAGGGCACCCAGGAGGGAGGGACGCTGACCCCAGGGACACGTTCCCTTCTCACCCCGAGTGCCTTGACCCCAGCACGTCACGCCTCCGGGACGCACAGGGCCACTATCTCTGACCGGAACGATCGAGCTTATCAGAGGGAATTCTGGCTGTCAATAGGATCAGGGTGGAAAAAGGATAACAGGAGAAGACCGCAGACCTAATTCCCACCTGTTCTCTCTCCGCAGGTTACCTGCACACCCTGGTGCAGAACCTGGTGAACAACGGCTACGTGAGGGACCAGACGGTTCGGGCAGCCCCCTATGACTGGAGGGTCGGGCCCCGTAAGTGTAGGGTTGTGACCAGGTCATGCATGTGGGGAGGGAGGCAGGATGGCTCGGTGAGCAGGCCAGCATGCTGTGGGGTGCTTCAGCACGGAGGAACCCCTGGACAGGGCTGTGTGTGTCAGTGAGTGCTTGGCCACCAGCAGCACTCTAATGTGAATGTGCCTGGTGGCATTTCTGGCTGTGCCCACACTTCTCTCCAGCTGGGGCTCTTGGGGTCAGCCCTGAGCTGCCCAAGAGCTGGTGCCTCTCTCACCCACAGAGGAGCAACCCGAATACTTCCAGAACCTGAAGGCGCTGATAGAGGAGATGCACGACGAGTACCAGCAGCGTGTCTTCCTCATCGCGCACAGCATGGGCAACCTCAACGTCCTCTACTTCTTGCTACAGCAGAGACAAGCCTGGAAAGATCAGTACATCGGGGGCTTCATCTCCCTGGGTGCCCCCTGGGGCGGGTCTGTCAAGCCCCTGCGTGTCCTGGCATCTGGTGAGTGATTTCTCGTGTGCAGAGACTTCTTTGTTTTCTTTCTCTCCTGCAGAAATGGAAGGGTGGCAGTGAGCAGGGACCAGACGCTGGTGGAAGAGCTGGGGGACAAACAGCTGAAGGCTAGGGATGTTCTTTGAAACCAGAACTGCCCATCCTCAAGAAAATGCTTCAGACACAAACTGTGTGGCCAGGGAAGCAGGCTGGGGAGCTCGCCTTCTTCTCGCTACCTCCCCAGGCATCCACACTGCCTCTGATGGGGCAGGGCTGTGAGGCAGATGGACCTTTGCTCCAAGCTCTACAACCCTTCTGTAGCAGAGGACACTGAGGCCACCGAAGGGACCCTCGCACTGTCCTGTGCCACTTGCTGGCATCTCCCCATATATCAGAGCCCATCCCCCACAAGCTTTTTTCCAGGCTTTAAACTCCCTTCACCCAGTTCCTCTTTAGCCTCTTTTCAGTCTAGAAAGCCACAATCAATTGCCTAATGCTGACAGCCCAAATATCCACAGGTCACAAGCTGAGCCTCCAAAATGCAAGGAATTTATTTAAAATCATGTGCTTGAAAAATTTTAACATCTGACCCCTTGCATCATTCTTTGTTGTTACACAGTCCAGAGACTATTTTTTAAGGTCATCTAAGATCATTGCGTGGTTTTAGGACTCCAGACACACCAAAAACACCCAGGTCTGCAGGAGGCAATGCAGGTTGGTCACCTGCTATCTCCCTGTTTCTGATGAGTCCCTGTGTCCCGCAGGTGATAACCAGGGCATCCCGCTGATGTCCAACATCAAGCTGCGCGAAGAGCAGCGCATGACCACCACCAGCCCCTGGATGTTCCCAACAAGCCTGGCCTGGCCTGAGGACCACATTTTCATCTCCACACCCTCCTACAATTACACCTACCGGGACTACAAGCAGTTCTTCACCGATGTCAACTTGGAGGATGGCTGGTACATGTGGGAGGACATGAAGGACTTGCTGAAGGGCTTACCCCCTCCTGGTGTGGACACGTATTGCCTCTATGGCACGGGCTATCCCACCGTGGAGACTTACATATACGATGAGCACTTCCCTTACGAGGACCCCGTGGACATGATTTACGGGGACGGGGATGACACTGTCAACAGGCGCAGCTCGGAGCTGTGCAAGCGGTGGCGCAACCAGCAGAAGCAGAAAGTCCACATCCAGGAGCTGCGAGGCATCGATCACCTCAACATGGTCTTCAGCAACCTGACGCTGAGCTCCATCAATGAAATACTGCTGGGGAGCTCGCAGGTCGGGGCTGGCACCAAGGAGCACGGGGAGCTGGGGCAGACGGGTGCTCTGAAATCCAGCCCGGAGGCAGGGAGGAGGGGGAAGAACTGAAGGAGATGGTGGCCAGCTTCCCTCCATGCTGGTATCCACCAGAAGCTGGCGTGCAGGGGGGCAAAGGACTCGGAGTTGGGTATCTATGAGAAGGAGCAAGACCAACGGCTCGGGTGGATGGGCTGGCACCCACTTCCACTCTGATTGTGTTGTGTGTTTTTTTTTGTTTTGGGAACGGTGATTAATTACACTTCAGAGGCTTGTCACTTCCCACTAGCGGATGGATAATTAACCACGCTGCCAGCTCATTAACATCACACTCGTGGATTCTGCTGTGTGCGCAAGCCCTCATCGCTAGCAAGCTATCTTTAGACACTTCAGACCATGGTACCATAGCCTCTGTCCACGCAGGACGGTGCCTTGCTGGGGTCCGTGAGCAGCTGTGTAGCACGGGTGGGCTCGTGGTGCCGGGGCAGCCACCACCGGGGTGGGCACGGGCAGGAGGACGGGCACAGCTCGCAGGAGAGCCCCCGCCAGCCTCCAGCGTGCAGGCAACGAGCTGGGCCCCCAGCATGAGACCAGCTTAGAATCAGCAGATCTACCAAATAATAAATATACCTGGCTTCTACACCATCAGCCTCCTTTGTGTGGTGTTTTGCAGCTCAGCCTCCACTAGTGTGACTGATAACCAATGTGTAGCTGAAAGTGTGGGGAGCAGTGATGGATGTAAGGGAATGGCTCAAAGCTGCACCTGGGGAGGTTCAGGAGGGCTCCTGGGGTAAAGTTCTTCCCCGGGAGTGTGGCTGGGGGCTGGGATGAGCTCCCCAGGGAAGCAGCCACGGCCCAGGCTTGTCCAGAAGCGTTTGGACAATGCTCTCGGGCACATGGGCTGCCTCTCAGGTGGCCCAGAGGTGGTCTCGGTGGTCCTTGCAGGGTCCCTCCGGACCCAGGAGATGCTGCAAAATCCCCATTTCCTGACAGCACCCTGGGGAGACAGCATTCAGCAAAGCCACCCGGTCCAACCGGGCACGCCTTTGTCCCCAAAATCTGCCATCCTCGGGCAGCTTCGCTTCCCCAGCGGCTTCCACCCGGAGAAAAACCAAGCGGGTCGCAGCGCCGGGCACGGAGGCGGCTCCGCTCCGGTACCGGGGGCGGAGGGGGGGGGCACCGGCAGGCGCCATCTTCCTGCCTGCCCCCTCCCGGGGCCGTCCCCGTTCCTTCCAGCGGGGGCTGGGCGGTGCCTGGGGGGCTGGCCGAGCGGCTCCGATCGCGGCTGCTCCGCTCCTGCAGCCTCCGGTGCCGCCGAGCTGGAGGAGATGGTGCTGGACCCGGGGGCGGCGGCGGCGGCGAGCGGGCAGGGCGGCGCCGTGCTGGGCGAGCTGCCGGAGCGCGATGGTTCCCGGCCGTGCTCCTCCTGCCCGTCCCCACCGCCTCGACAGGCAGCGGGATGCTCGGCCCGGTACCCGAGGGGGAGCCGGAGGCTGTCGGAGAGCGGCGCCGGGACGCGGCGAGGCGGCGGCGCTTGCGCCGGGAGCGGGGGCAGGATGCGCTCCGCCGCTTCGCTGCCCCACATCGGGCGGCCGCGGGGCGAGGAGGGCGGCGGGGGAGGCGGGGGGGGACGGAGGAGCCCCTGCTTGCTCGTAGCCCTGCGGCCGCTCAACGTGGAGGCCGAACGGGAGAGGTTTTTCCGGGCCCGCTTCGCCTACGACCCGCAGTTCGAGTACGCAGAGCCGGTGCCCGAAGCCGTGCTGGATAAATACCGCGCCGCCTCCGACCGCTTCGTGGCCCAGGTGAGCCCGGACTGCCGGCTCGGTGCACGGTGAGCCTTGAGTTGGGGGCTCTCCCCCGAGCTTTCCCCGTTTTCTAAGGCCGGCGCCTCCGTTTGGGCGGTGGGAGCATCCCCCCGGGGCGCTCCGGTCCGCTCGGGTGTGCTGGGTTACGCCAAGGGCTGCGCGCTCCTCCTCTTCCTCCAGCCCCTGGAGGAAGGCCACGCGGGGAGGAATCCAAGGGTTGAGGTGTTGGTGACCTGAGAGCCCACCTTCAGCTCCAGGACCCCCGGCACCGGGACGTGGAGCTGGTGGAGAGGGTCCCGAGGAGGCCACGGGGATGGGCAGGAGGCAGCGGCACCTCTCCTGGGGGGAGATGCTGGGAGAGCTGGGGGTGTTCAGCCTGGAGAAGGAAAGACTCCAGGGAGACCCTACAACAGCCTGCCAGCCCCTAAAGGGAGCTGCAGGAGAGCTGGGGAGGGACTTTGTGTCATGGGTGTGTGGTGATGGGACAAGGAGTAACGGCTTTACATGAAAAGAGGGTAGGTTTAGAGTAGACACGTGGAAGAAATTATTGCTGTGAGGCACTGGAATGGGTTGCCCAGAGAAGTTGTGGATGCCCCATCCCCATCTAAGCTCTCCCTTAGTTAAATACTCCACTTTTACCAACAATACCTGGGGGATGGCCCCTCCTGGGGCTGGTCCACGCTCTGAGCCTCACGCTGCCTGCAGGTGTGCAGCCGTGGTTCGGAGCTGGTGCTCTGTGAGTGCACCTGGCACTTTTGGGTTAGAAACAAGGGGCGAGGAGCTGCAGCACGAGGTTGGCTTGCCTTCGAAGCAGCCCCCAGCCTGTGTGCCCTGGTGGCTGTGTCTGGTTTGTTTCCTGGAAAACCTCAAGGTTGTCCTGCACAGCACCCGTAACACGTCACTGCTGGCTGAGGGCACTCTTTATTTTGTTCAAGTAAGCAGTGCACACAGCAAACGGGGATGCACCGTGCTCGAACTCATGCACGTTAAAAGTCCTGCTCACTCTTTGCTGAGGCCATGTGGAGCCTTTAGAGACCCATCTTGGTACGGGCCAGGATATCACACTGGTGTAGGAAAGGCTTGTTTGCAGTGATGACCATGTTAGTTGCTTCAGAGGAAGAGGAAAAATCCCTGTCATAAGTAACCGTCAGACTGGGACACAAGAGCTGCTTCTTTGCACCACTTGGTTGGGAGTTTTCCTGCAGTGTTTCAAAGAGCAGCTTCTTGACTGCTTATTTTCTTGGGTTTTGACCACTTACTTGTTCTTGTATTGCAGAGATGAGAAGAGAGTACTTGTTTTCACTTTGGTGTGCAGCAATCACATCACCTCGTGCTTCTGCATCTCCAGTTGGATGTTATCTGGGCTGCTCAGTCCCTTTCAGTAAACAACTTTCTAAGCAGTGAGCCATCTCCTGTGCTGTTCCTGCTGCACCTCTGCCCCAGTGACACTGGTGCCAGCAGTGCTTATTTCGGGGGAGGCAGTCTGATTCCTGTAATGACCTTGCTGGTGGCTTTTCAGTGATTTCTTTTGTCCCTTCCTGCATTTGAGTGGTGGTTGTATTTATTTATTTATTTATTTATTCTCTGATTAATGCAGTAAATGGAATTGTTCAGAGCTACTTCCCCTCTTTGAGTGCAGTTGACGTACAATATGAATAATTGAATGTATTTGTGTCTGTGCATTCCTTTGAATGAAGGTCTTCATAAATGGTGGGAATGTTCTCATCCTGGTTCTTGCACTCATTGCAAGAGATATTAGTGTTAAATATTTCTCTCTATCTCTACAAGTTCTCTGATGCCTGTGTGATGTGTCTTGGGAGAACGGAGGCTTTTCTGCCTCCTGGAAAAAGCACAGCACGCACCAGTCATGTTGAGAGCTAACATTTAAATTCTGTGATTTGGATGGGAAAGCCTTGTGGAGGTGAGTGCTCAGTTAAAGAGGAGATGAATGGGAATCCGGCAGCACTGGTGTCAGTGGTCCTTTGCTGGTACGCTGCAGTTGCCTCCTTTCAGTCCTTTTATTTTGGGAGACTTTTTTTCTAGGCAGCTAACAAATGTCTTTTAAAAAACCTGCATTAGTCATGGAGCTTAAATTAGTTGTGTGTTTTTTTTTTTTTTTTCTAAGTTAACATCTCAGTGCAAACCAAAATCAGCTCCCTGTTCTTACTTTTCATCTTTTGAAATGAATGACCCCTCCAGTTCTGCTGAATCAGGCTGCTCTGCACAGGCATTGTGGGCTTTTTGTTTGCTTGGGTGTGGTTTTTGCTTGCTTGTTTTTCATAGAAATTGAGTAAATCGGAAGGGTCCTCCTAGAGAGCAAGAAGTCTGTGTGTTGGCAACCCAGTTTGTCGAAGGATTGGGAACAGCATCGAGGCAGGGCTTGGACCCCACCTGAGTGCCTGCTGCCCCCCGACACGTGGTGGTGAGCGTGCTTGTGGGCTGAGCTGGTGACAAGCTCCTGCCCCGAGAGGCAGCCAGGACACTGTCTGGGCAGGAAGGGCTGACGTGGTGCTCAGCAGCTTCTCAGACAAGCAAATGTGGTGTCTTAGGAATTCTGCTGTCTGTGACCTGTCTGAAAGTCGGCGCAGGAATGTGCTCTTTGTGCACCATCTGTGCCCAGTTCCTCTTTGCCTCGTGCTTTTGGTCTTCAGGCCCCGAGTGCATGGCTTGGGATGGGGCTGAGCAGCAGCGAAAGGGCTTGCAGAGAAGGTTGTGGTCACTGAGCTCCTGAAAGGAGGGGTTAAATGTTAGCTGTTAGAAGCAAGTGACCTTCAGGTAGGGAGCAAAGGTTGTGGAGCAGCAGGGCTTCTGGAGCCATGGCACGCCGTAGTGAGCTGTCGTCCCTCATCTTCAGCAGAGGTGGCAAGGTGGAGAGAAAAGAGGGGGGAATTCAAGAAGAAAATCACAGAAGTGGAACAATTTAAACAAACAAAAGCTGCTCCTGGAAAGACAGAATAAGTGAACTGAGAATGAAATTTAGCTGCTTAGGGGATATTGTTCAGGGAAGGAAAATCTGGAACTGATCTGGTCTGATCCAGGTGTGAATGCCAATTTGTTGGTTAGTACATAACCGTGCTTTTAATCCTCTGTGGAAGCCACACATCCTCCTGGTCCCCGACCTGGCTGTTCATGCCGTCAGCCCAGGTGCACTGAATGCTAGCACCACAATCATTTCCAGCCTGTAAAATACCAGTGATCAGCTTAACTTATCCCTCTTGCAGTAAGTGAAATATGCGTTAATAGGCTAGAGAGAGTCATTGCTTGAAATTGACAATGCAAACTCACTTTCTGGGGAAGAAACAGACTAATAAATGTTTGTATAGATGGTCCATGAATGTTAGTGCTAATAAAATAGCAGATGCTGCTCTTACTAAGATGCTGTTCTTCCATTAGACCGGTTGTGTTGAGACCCTGCCTGAAGAAGAGGAAGCAGCATTGCAGCCAAGAGAAATGCTCATTGTGGAGGCTTTGCTGCATGGCGTGCTCCTCTGCTGACAGTTTGCATTCGCGGTCCTGACCCTTTTGTGTCCTGAGTGCTTTGTCGAAATTGTCAGTTTCTACAGAAGTTCTGCAAAGCAGATGTGGTAGCTGGTGAAGAGCAAACAGCCTGAGCTGCTGCAGTGATTTTAACTTCCCCACCTCCTTTTTAAAAACTCTGCAGCTGATTTATATGAATTTTGTTGCCCTGATATGGCAGAGGGCAACAAAGATTCGTACTTCTTACAGCTCACTCTTCTGCAACTCCAGTCATGAGCCCATCCTGTTTTCATACTTGCTACTTTTATGCCAGGCCAGAAGGGATCTTGTGCCAGGAGCTGTGCTCTATCAGGTGCCTTCCATGCTGTGAGTTCCTGAATTCAGCCCAGTGTTGCAATAAGCAACTAATAAGCAAGTTAATAAATTTGCAAACACTAAAGTTTCAAAGAGGAAGCGAAAGCAGAAAAGATTAAAGTAATCATGGCTTTAACATCTAGAAGCGGCGTGCTGCATACCGTAAGGCTGTTTCGGTTCTGCTTTGCCCGATTCCCAAAATAGACACTTGTGAGGATTTCTGAAACAATAAAACACAGACAGAATGTGCTGGCAGTGTCACGTATCGATCTGTCCTGGTACTTGCCTATCCTCGAGATGTCCTAGCCTTACTCTTCTGTTAGGTAGCACAAAAATATCTCACCTCGCTGGCTCTTGACACTTTGCAGTTGTTTGAATCCTTTCTCAGGGATTTCTTCAGCTGTGTTTTGGTACACCTGGGAGTTCTGGTGCTGTGGAAGAGGTACTTGAGAGCAGAGAGGATGTTTTGCCTGATATCTTGTTTGTATGTGTGTGTGACAGGCGATTAGGATCATCCATGCTGTCCTGGAGAAGTATGGGACCTACGAGAGCTTCGAAGTTGCCACTGGTGGGAGACTGCTGAGCAAATGCCAGATCTGGTCTGTTATCCGAAAGTACATGCAGAAGGAAGGCTGCGTGGGAGAGGTAATCATCGCCCTTGTTTTTTATCAGTTGTAAAATAAATGTGCAAAATATTTTATTTTTCACCAGTGCTTTTGTTCAGCAAAGCATCGATTCTGATAACAGTCCAATTAAGAGGTGTTTTGGGTACAGAGGACCTGTAAAAAAAAAAACCCTACTCACCAGGGGAGAGAAGCTTGGGAAACCCGTGTCTCGGGGCAGGAGTTAAAGTAGTATCTGAGACCTGAGTTTGTAGTGCAGTATGCAGTAAACAAACTTGGTGGCAATTTTGTTTGCAAAAAGATTTCACGAAGGTTTTCAGCAGTCCTCTGCATTGCTGTGTCGCTTCTGGAGATGCTGGACTCATTCTGAGGAGCTTCTTCAGGCTATTTAGGGCTCCCAGCAAAGGCCACCACTGCGTAAGACTCTGGAGGTGGGTTGGGCAAATGTGGTACAACTACAGGATTTTTTTTTAGCCTGGCCATCGCCTGATGCAAGCTGAGGGCCGGGTGTTTTGTGCAGCTTTTGGAAAGCTGGGAGGGGCAGCGTGCTCCTGAACCTGGCCTCGAGGAAGAGCAGGGTTTGGAGCAGGAAGGAGCGAAGGGGAGCAGGTCTACCTTTCTCTTCCACCTTGCAGTAAATCGCTCTGCTTTTCTACTCTGAACTGTGGCTTCCTTCCATCTCTGGCTTGGCTCCTGGCATCCTGGAGTTGGGGAGCAGGTGCTAGTTGTGTCCCTCCTCCTCCCCCCAGTTTCCCTTGATTTCTCATTCCCGAAATATCTCCCTTTTATGCTTGAGAGACAGCGGAGCTGCTGCTTGGCCACATGGCCAGGCACACAGGGTGGGGAGTATTTTGCTGCCTCCATAAGGCATCAATTACCGTTGGGAAGAATAACCTATTTCTGCTAGCGGTGGTATGGCAGAAATCTCCGACAGCTGGGTTCATTCACATGTTCAAAAGCAGAGATGGGGGAGAGATTTCCTGCTGTTCTCTGGGATGTGCTGGGTTATGGCGCTTTGAAACTCCAAGCTGAGGCTTTCAGAGTGGCAAATACCTCGCTGAGGTATTACTGGGGGTGATTCAGCTGCGTGGGAAGGAGGGTGGAAAGTTCAGCACCTCTTGCTGCTCCTTGCTGCACACGCTGTGCTGCTTTCTGACAGTGCCCGCTGGGCGCAAACCTAGGTCTGGTGAGGCAGGAGGGATTTTCAGCTGGCTTCCTGAAGTTAGCCAAATAACCTGCCCCCTTCCAAAGCAAACAAAACCCCTGCTGCTCTGTAACAGTGGAATTGCAAGAAACTAAGCCAAAAATCTCAGGCACTTAAATAAGCAGTGAAAAGACAAGTTCCTTCCTTTCATCTTGTTTACCTCTTGGTTCCTGCTCTGCCAGGGGCTCTGTCCCTTTCTCCCTCATCTCAAAGTCTTGGTGAAAAGCTGAAAACAAAATGTACCTGTGTATGTTCACCTCACCCAGTGGTCTCTGCCTGCTCCTTGTCCTCCTGATGCTGCTGTCACAGTTGCGTGGTTGGAAACCTGCTCTCCTTTAACACCGAGCTCACAGGGATTATAAAGCAGGGTGAGGAGCTTAAGGATTTGTCTCTTCCAAGAGTGTTTCCTGGCAGCTGGACATGCACGGGGAGGAGGGATGCCCCGTGGCTTCGTTTAAGGGGCTTTCTCCTCTTCCTGCCTGCAAGATGTGTGCGAAACACTTCCACGGCTGCAGGGCCGAGCGGTGAGAGGTATTTCTGGGCCTTGCTTTGCTTTTTGCTTGCAGAGTTGCCTTTGGCTGTAGGACACAAGGAGGCACAGTCAGCATGCCCGAGTGCTAGCTGGTGTAGGAGGCTTCCTCGCCTCTTGGCAGCAGTGCAGGGTTCAGGTGAAGTTCCTCCTCCAGCTCCACCTGGCTTGCTCGGAGGTCCCCGGAGGTGTCCCTGGGATGTGGACGTGGTACCAACGTCCTCCTCAGCCCCTGTTCTCTGTACATGCTAGGCTGGTAGCAGGCAGTGGTTTGGGGGTTGGTTTTGTTTGTTTAGCTTTGGGGTTTTGTTTGTTTTGTATTGAAAACCCAAATGACAAAACAAACAAACAGAACTGAAGTCTTTACACCTTTCACTTCTGCAGAAGTTTCCTTGCCCCCCAGGGATTACCTGTCAGCCAACAATGTGCCTTTACAAAAAGAATCATACTTTGTTCTCGAATCTTAACTTATAAACACCTGCTTATGTTCTCTCTCTTAATTTTATTAATTGATTAAATTCAGCTATTACGTTCCTCTCTGCTAATCTAAAACAAATTTCTCCATCTGGGCAGAAAAACATCTTTTCTTAAATATTAGCGTTATGACTGACTTTCTGCCAGCCCTGTTTAATTTTCCCTTTGTTCAGGGGAACTAAGAGTTCAATTATTATGTTTGCACATCGGAGTGCAAGGTACATGGCTCATTTATTCTGAAACTTCTGATAAGCACTTGTAAAACCATTCAAGCATTGGTTTGTGCATTACCAGTCACTACAAATCGTGCTGAATTTCCCTGGGGAAGGGAAGAGGGAAGTGTTTCACCTGTTCCTGCACAGCAAGTGTTGTGAAACGTTGCTCCTGGAATGGGACAAAAACGTGCTGGAACTCCTGTCGCTGCCGCATCGCTGATGATTTCACACCCTGTCGAGGCACAGAGTGGTTTCACGGAGCCATCTACCTCCCTCCCCTCCCTGCTGCCTGTGTCTGTATTGCCTGACTTCTGTGTGCTGTACCCTGTCTGCTCGGTAGCGCTGTTTGCTTTTCTGTTGCCAGTTTCACGTTGCACACTAATCATAAGGAGTTTCTTTTTTAAAAGAAAAAAGAAACTCTGCTCGTGGGGCCCCGCAGGTCACCCAGCTGCGAGCACCCTGCGGTTTCCCCGTCGCCTTGGCTGCAGAGCATCGCTCTGGCAGGATGCAGGAGGCACCGCCACCCCGCAGGGCTCAGTACGGGTTTTCCTGGTACAGGTCTCAGCCTTGCGGTGCCTCCCCAGTCAAAGAATCAGAACAGCTTGGTTTGGAAGGGACCTTAAAGTTCATCCAGTTCCAACCCCATCAGACGTGGAAGAGCACAGACCCGGGCTATGCGGTGCTGCTGTGACTTGTCAAACTGGCCTAGGAGCTTTTCTCTGTGCTGCAGAGGCTTCCTCAGCACGGGGGCCAGCCCCAAAACCACGAGGTGCTGCATATTTGGGAGCTGGGCACGCAGCTTGGGCTGTTGGCCTGCAGCTGAGGAAAATGCCATCAAAAGCTTGTGTCTGGTGGGGCCAAAGTGTTCGCGAGGGGCTGTGGGTGTGCAAGCATGGCTGCTGCTTCCTCTGCCTGGCCTGGCTGCGGCGCAACTCCAGACCTTCAGCTCCAACCCCTGCATCAACCAGAAACACGAAGTCGAAACTTGCGCTGCTTCTCTTCCCAGCTAATTAGCAAGCAAACAGCCCTCGGGGGGATGCTAAAATAGAGCTGCCTGGCCCGAGCGAAGCCCCAGGACAAACCCTTGCGCAACATCTAGAGGAGTCTTTCCAAAACTGGCAAGGAGGATGATTGTTTGGGTGTGCAGTAGGAAAGGAGGTTCACCTCGCTCTGGTGCTCCATCGATCTGAGCAGCCTGCGAAAGGCAGGGCCGGCGGCGTTAGCTGCCAGGGTGGTGTCAGTGCAGAGCGCTCCCCTTGCACCCCCGCGCCCATCCCTGGCACTCGAGGTGCAGAGGGACGGGCTGAGCTGTGATGAAGGCAGGAGACCGGTTTCCAGCACGCCAGGGAGCATGTTTACGGGTAAGTATTTGCACCACAATTAACTTTGCGTATTCGAGAGTTTCTGTGGCGGGGTCCAAGCTGCAGGTTCTGAAGCTGTTGTGGTTGTGTTCTGCCTCAGGGCTGAGGTGATGCTGCCGGAGCTCGGAGGCCTCCTTACAGTTGTCCTGGATGTCCCAGCTGCTCCCAGTTCGCACCAAAGTAACCTTTGGCTCTGTTGGTAAGTATTACGCAGTCGTCCACGCCACTGTGAAATGTCCTTCGTTTTAGTGCTGCTGGCTAGCACATCCCCAGGGCCTGCCAGCAGTGCTCGCCCTGCCCCATCCCACCCCAACCTGCCAGCACTGAGCAGACACCCTGCTGTCAGTGCTGCAGAGCTGCTGAGAGGCTTTGGCTCCATCAGCAGCCCCTGCTTCCTCCCACAGTTTTTGGGGACGAGCTCTTTTCTCTGTCGTTACACCCACAAACTGCGCAGACAGCTTCGTGGCCCGCAAGGATGTGCTGGAGATTGTGCTTGGAATTCAGGCCTGAGCGGTGAATACTGGTCAAAACGGGAGAAATCACAGATCTGGAGAGCTGGCCCTTCTGCCCCAGGAATAAGACTTTGGCTGCAGCTGTAATCTCCTGTTCTCACAGGATCTGTGCCTAGGCAAAATGGGGGTCCTGAAATAAGGAGAGTGATGCTGCCCATCATGGATATGGGCTGTCCAGTGCAATTTCTCTGCAGACCTGACTTTATTATTCAACGCCTCTAAAAAGTCATCAGGCTTTCCTAAAAAGGATGAACAAGGAATTACAAGGCAAATTTTTGCCTGTCTTCAAATTGTGGTGTGCCCCAACCGCCCTGCATGCATCCATGAGACCATGTTGTTGGCGCTCACATGTGGACTGTGACGTGCATCTGTCCCCTTGGCTGCAGGGCTCCTCGTCCTTCAGGTGGTCACTGACCCTCTTTCCCAGCCCTCACAGCAGTCTGCTTTCTTCCTGCAGTGGTTTTGTTCCTCTGCCCAACGTTGTTTTCTCTTACCTCCTGCTTAGGAGACCTTCATCCCTTTTCCCCTGAAAGTCATGTAGTCTTCAACCACTGCAGACCAGTGTCTTCCTGAGTCAGGTGTTGGTGTGTGCAAAACCCCTTCCATTTGTCTGACCAATTTTGAACTGTTGTAACCTCCCCCAGCAGGGAATCTGCTTCCTAATCACTTCACTTGATGTCATCTAGCACTTGTACTGAGACTAATAGTTTCCTTTTCATACTGTTGGGTTCAGTGTTGCTGTTCTGTGTTGTTTTTACCTTTTCTTGACCATGAGAGAAGAAAAATAAAAAGTCGCAACTGCTGCTTTTGACTTGAATTCTTCCTCTAAAGATTCAGGGATGTTCTTGCTTGGAGTTTTCCTTGATGCACATTGTGCTGAGGGAGTGCTTTCTTCTTCCTTTTAATTCTTACCAGCTTACCCCAAAAGTGCTTGTGTCACTAGGCATCTAGACCTGGTTTCTGCATAGAGCATCACATTCTCAGCCACCTTTTATTTTCCAGCAGTTGGTTCTGTTCTCCTTGCTCACCTTGGTGGGTGTCAGATAGGAAGAGGGAAGGAAAACAGATGGCTTTGAACTGCTCCATCTGCCTCCTGTTTATCAGACACGATACCAAAGACTGATGGGCAGTGCTTGCCTTGCAGTGTGGCTAGATTTAATCCTTTTTTGCCAAGGCCCTTGTTGAATGCGTGACTGTGTCAGCAGATCATCAGGCTTCAGCACTGAAGGCCTGTGCCATCAGGGCCTGGTGATACCTCGGGCCTACACGCGAAGCATTTTCCCCTTGTCTGAAGAGGGACTCCCCTGGCCCAGGTTACATTCTTCAGCATGGCATTCCCCAATATTGTCCATGGACAGCTCAGGTTATCATGAAGCCTGGCTGGTTTTCTTCGGTGCCAGTGCAGGCAGGAAGGGAGGGCTGGGTGTTGTCACAACGGCGGCGATGATCTGCACGGAGCATTGACCTCTGTAACTTGATCGGTGTTGTTAGACTCCCAGGTTTATGCAATATTGCTGTCATTTGCATGGAATCTGTTACAGAGTTGTTTTCACAGTTAGCTTTTGAACTATTGAAACTTGAACTGCTCAGGGGATGCCAAGTGAGCAGCAGCCACCTCCCAGAAATCACCAGCTGGGATAATCCCAGTGAAGCAGCTCCCACTGGTGCAGAGCTTAGAGGAGCCCTGGAAAACCACTGAATGCGTGGTGTTGTCCTTGTGGAGTTTGGTGTTGAGTGGTCAAGGATGGACAATTGGAAAATGGAGAAAAACAGAGAACTCAGTGAATTATTTTTATTATTATTTTAAATAGACTGGGGAAAAACAGGTAAGAGAGAGCATTTACCCTAGGGGAAAATAAGTTTTTTTTCTGTATCTACCCAGGATTTTCTAGTACCCAAATTCCAACCCCCTTGTGTTCTTTTTCCCTGTAGGGGCAATTAAGAGTGACAAGACAGCAAGATGTGGACCTTGCCTGGCCTGTCCCAGCCAGCTGAGCATCGTGTGCTAGCTGGTTTTCTTGTAGTTGAAACCCACAAGCTGACACAACACATCGTCCTGTGCTCTTCGTAGAAGCTGTAGGTCAAACAGCAAAGCCTGGGGGACACGGGACTCTGAGAGGAGTTCAGGCACCAGTTCTGTGCTGAAGAACACAGCAATGACTTCAAGGGAGCAGGGAAGAGTGCTGTGACAACAAAATGCATTCCTTTTACTTTAAGCTCTGCCCCTTGTCTCTTCCCTTCCCCTCCCAGGTTCCAGGATTTCAGCTAGCTGTATTTGGGATTGCAACGCAGGATGTCTTGGTTGCATTCCTGTCACACCAAGCCGACATAAAAGATGGGAATTGGTTAAAATAATACCAAAGTTTGGCTCATATGTGCCTCCTTATTTCTGCTTACAGTGAAGCTGCCTCTGGTTTTCAGCTGCATCTCCTAAAATCTGCAGGACCCAGCTCACCAAGGTACCAGGTCAGGACTTGTGCCTGAGGACAAGGTCCAGAGCGGTGACCTCTGCGTGCTGGCTGGGTGCAGGAAAGAGCAGCAGAAGTGCAATTTCTATTTATTTTGAATTGTTTACTGGAACAGAAATAAAGCTCAAGAATGCTCCTACGTTAAAAGTAAATTTGCAAGTCTTTTCTCTGTGTTTTCTGTAGTTGTATATTTTAATCCAGTTGATTGTGTTATAAGTCTTTTATGCTGTTAATTCGCACAGTAGTAGATTCTGCTCTGTTATGAAGCACTTCTGGCTTTAACACGATAATAAATCTGGGTTTAAAACAAACTGATTCAGTCTGCTCTCTTTCTTTAAAAAAAAAAAGAACTGTAGTGTAGTAGTATGTGTGTGCATCGGTTTGGGCTATGCTAGCAGTTTGGCAGTGAAAGACGAGAAGCTGAGAGGCAATTCTTGCTCAGGAGTGTGATGTTGACAGGTTTCTGCTTTTCATCCTGAAAAGTTTCAACCGTGAAATAACTGATTTTAGAGTTCATACGTGTGTGGCAGATGGATTTTTGAGATACAAATGGTATGTGCCTGTAGTATGTGCCCATAGTCCTGTAGGCTTGGCTTAATGGGGTTTGGTTCTTCCTCTTGCTGGGCGATGCAGGATCCCACTCGTGGATGGGTCTGAGAGCACTGATGTTGGATGTGAGTAGCTGTCTTGGTTCCATCATGCACAATGTCCAGGTTTCCCAAAATAGCCATTTCTTTCTGTATATTTACCTGTCCTGCTGAGGATTGCAGCTGGCAAGTGCCCAAGTAGGAAGCCTGACTACCATGTGTGTGGCTGGCAGCTCGTGCTGTGGGTATGTTGGATGGATCTGTCCTTGTTACTCTTCTCTCGAAGCCTTAAAAGGGAGAATATAAAGGAGATGAAGGTGTGAAAATGGAGCCAGGTTCCCTTGTGGGATATTTTTGGTGGGTGCTGTAGAGGTTGGACCCACAACACAGCAGTTAAGGCCCTGTGAGACGTTCCCATTGCTGTGTGTGTAGTGCTGAAGGAAAGGGGGCAATGAAATAGCTCTGTTGGGGCAAAGTGGCAAAGCTGGTGCTCGTTGTGCTTTGTTTCACATTGCATTGTACTGGAAAACGTGCTTCTCCCACTCCTGTGGCTTGCAGGCCTGGTCTGGGCTAGCAGGGGTGAGGAGAGAGAGGCTTCAGGACACGCTGCTTGCCCGATCTTGGGCAGTTTATCACAAGTAAAATGCTGAGGGTTAACTGGGCCACAAACTGCACCAGTCTCCACAGCTGCTGCTGATGGAGGGAGGAAAATCCCAGTGTCACCAGAGGGGGTTTAGGGAGGTTAGCCATCTTTTGGTTGGGGACTGGCTGGGCATTGCTCTACCCGTGGGAGGTGGTGGTTGAAGATGGAAAGCCGCATGTGGCCCTTGGTCCTGCAGCCTGCAGGGAGCTGCCTGCAGCAGGAGGGGTGCTGGGGATGTGCTGGCCAGGGCAGCCAGCTCCAGCACAGCCTGCTCAGAGTCCGTGGCTGTAGTAAGGCTAGAGGAGCTATTTCATGTTGGGGTCCAGGCCCATCCTGCTACATCTCTTTGCAGGGGGATCAGCTGTTCCTCCCGCCATGTGTGTCCCCTCTCTCCCTGCCCAGGAATTGGCCGTGGCTTTCCCAGGGTACAGGAGTATTGCCAAGATTGGTTAGGGCAAGCATTTCACAGTCACTGAATCACAGGATGGTTGGAAAGGGACCTCTGGGGGTCATCTAGTGCAGCCCCCTGCTCAAGCAGGGTCACCTAGAGAGGTTGCCCATTTCTCATCAAGTCCAGAGAGCCCCCCGGTACCTAAAGTTTTGACATACCTCCTTTCTGGACCAGAACAGTTTTAGCATGTTTTCTCTGGACACTTTAAAGCATGACCCAAACCATCATCCAGCAGTCCCAGGCTGTGTGTCGGGGAGGCTTGCTAACAGCCTCTTGCCTCCTTCTCCCTCCCACACAGGTGGTGGTGCAGCTCACCGACGACCTCCTGTCCCAGGCCGTGATGATGGTGGAGGACAGCCGCCCGACGCTGGCCATCAACCTGGCCGGAGCCCGGCAGTACTGGCTGGAGGGCATGCTGCGCCACGAAATAGGTCAGCGGGGCCGGGGCAGCGACGGGGACCGTGAGCAGGGAGGAGGCAGAGCATCCCCCGATGGCCTTGCTTCTCCCAGCCCCAAGGCCGTGATGCTCATCAGCATCACGGCCTTGGGGCTGGGAGAAGCAGGCAGGATGAACACGATGGGGTTAAGCTTTTGGTCACCAAGTTGTCCCTGGCTGACGATGCTCGCTTTTGTCCCCCACCCCACCCAGGCACCCACTACATCCGCGGGGTGAACAACACCCGCCAGCCCTGGCACAGCTCGGAGGGCCGCAAGCAGTACAGCCTGAAGCCCGCCAACCCCACGGAGGAAGGCTTGGCCAGCCTGCACAGCGTCCTGTTCCGCAAGCAGCCCTTCCTCTGGCGTGCGGCCCTGCTCTACTACACCATCGAGCGGGCCAGCCGCCTCTCCTTCTCCGCCCTGTTCCAGGACCTGGAGCAGTACGTCCAGGACGCCAGTGTGCGGTGGGAATACTGCGTGAGGGCCAAGCGAGGCCAGACCGACACCTCGCAGCCAGGTAGAGCTCAGGGAGCATGAAGCCTTCCATTTTTGGAAGTTTTTTTATTATTATTATTCACTCAAACAAGCGTGTTTTGGTGCTGGGCGGCTTTACCATCACCAGGCTCACAGCCAGAACGTCCTTTAAAGCGGTGGCTCTGCTCCCGTCTCATCCCCAGCTCTGCTTTCACATGGGTTTACGCTTATCTTTGTGGCAGTTTTGCACGCAGGACAGCCCCATCACCTCTCCGGCTGCTCAGAGTCAGGCAGGGGATGGATGGGGCAGCCTGGGGAGGCCTGAGAGATCATCCCAGTTCAGTAGGTCCTGGGCAGAGCAGCTTGTACAAGCTCCCAGGGAGCCACAGGAGAAAGAGAGCATTTTTTAGGGGGTGTATTTAGATTCTTGTATTAAAAATATATATATAATCTCAAGGAATGGTGAGTGTCCCTGTGAGAGGCTCTGCTGCCTTCCCTTCTTTCCCAAGGTGGAGGCTTCTCAGCACGAGTCCCCAGTGCTGGCTCTGCTCATCCCTTGGGCCTTTCCTTCCATCACACCCAGGAGGATAAGGCTTATCCTGGGGCAAGCTCCTGATCACACTTCCTTCTTTTCCAGGCTGCTTCAGTAAGGACCAGGTGTACCTGGACGGGATTCTCCGCATCCTGCGACATCGGCAGACCATCGACTTCCCTTTGCTGGCTGCCCTTGGAAAGGTGACAGCACGGGGCAGCAGCTCGAGCACCGCACCAGGAAGGGGCTTTCTGGTTTGGGGCAGCCAGGACTGCTATCCTGGGGAGAGCAAATATGGGTTTTTCTTGGGGGAATAGGATGAGACTGTTTCAGATGTGGTCTCAGCTTCCCTCCATACAACAGAAATGAGCTTCAACCTTGGCTGGAAGGCATTCAGCTCTTTGTATTTCTGTGTACTTAAGGGTCTCCAGCTAACACAGAAAGGCTGTGGGAGCTCTAAAGACACAAGGACGGCTGGGACAATCTGTCCTCCTCCATGGGACACCTTTGGGGAGAGGCTGGAGATGGATCCACTGGGTTAAGCTGCTCTGGGAACCTTCCATGGGTCTCTTCCCTCTGCTCAGAGAGTGCATCCTGGAGAGTATGGCTTTTCTGATTTAGGGAAAACCACAGAAACATCAGATAGGCTGCTCTGCAATTGCAACCAGTGATGGATTTTGTGTACCCACATTGAGACACTGGTGGGGGGCTTGGGGTCTCAAAGCCATTACATCTTATTTTACATATGTTTTTTGGTTGGTTGGTTTTTTGTTGTTGTTATTAAATATGCTAGCACATATAAGCTCAGCATCATTACTTGTCCCTAGAATAACAACAAAAAGACCAAAACCACAAACTCGTCCTTGTAATTCCTCTCACCTGGTGCCTCCCCACAGGCTGGGGGGGGATTTGGGCAAGATGAGGGTGGAAACCCCAGCTGGGCAGGCAGAAAGGTCACAGGGGGACAGAAACCTTTCATTGGCACCCACTGACCTGCCCTCTCCTTTCTTCCCATCAGGTCTCCTACGAAGATGTGAACCGCCTGAAGAAATTTGGGGTGCTGGAGAAGGCCCGCATCCCCCACTTCATGCAGGACCTGGAGAGGTACATGAAGCAGCTCGACCACATCGTCACCACCAACCAGCTGAACGAGCAGGAGCTGGAGGAGCTGCTGCCCGACTGAGCGGCACCGGGCACCCCGCGTGTCTCAGCGCAGCCTGCCAGCACCTGGCTGCTGCTGCTGGCCCTATTTATTCGGTATTTATTGGGGCTGTCGAGCCAGTCCTTGCCTGGAGGAGACAGCACAGCTTGGGCTTCCATCCGGGAGGCCAACGTGCATGTACCGCTGCGCAGGGTAGCGCAGCCGAGATGGTCAGTGTGGTTGTTGTTGATTGTCCTCCCCCCGCCCAGCTCCGTGCATTTTGGGGAGCGCCGTGCCGCTCTGCGTGGTTTTGGGGAGACAAGGGTTTGGAGAGAGCCAGGGCAGAGCCTGGGAGCTGCACCAGTCCCGCAGCAGGAGGCTGCGCTGGGCTGGTTGCAATGGGGAGAGCATGGGAGGGTCCTCAGGGTGCCAGGGGATGTTCCCAGCTCCCCTCATGCCCTCCCTGGCAGCAGGAGATACTTCAATTCCCTCAAACAACCCCTGCTCTCCCTGCTCCTAGGTATCTGCCCTGTCCCAGCAGCCCATGCAGACCCATATAAAGTCATTATTGCGCACCCCAAATCCAGCCACTGCCTGGCATCAAGGCACTGGAGGACTCGGGGCGGGGAGCTGGCTTGATGTTATGAAAAAAAAGGTGTAATAAAAAACATGTAATGGAAACTACGTGTTGGCAAAATGTTATGGATCGCAGCGAGTGCGAAAGCCTGGCTGGCACCCCTGCTAACACAGCTTGCTCACATGGGCAAAGCTGCATGTTTCTGAGCTGGTGCGTCAGGAGCAGGAAGGGGTCACCAGGGTGTAAAACCCCCTAATGAGCAGGGACAGCACGAGTAAATCAAAGCAGGCAACAGCAGGCGTTGCCCTGAGCCATACGTGGTTTCTAATGTGGGATCTCTGCCACAGTCACAGCACCCCAGCTAAGCCATCCAGGGGAGTTTTTAAGGCAAGAAGAAAAAAAGAAAAAAGGATTTTTTTTTTTTGCGTTTGTTAGCTGGAGCTTTTCATCCCACTGAGCTTCCCTAAA